CCGCCGCACGCCTCGGGGCGCACAACGGGCAGGGCACCGTCACGCGCCACGGGGCGCACGACGGGCAGGCAGGGCGTTGCGCGCTCTGCAGGGCGGCGCGACGGGTAGGCGCACGGCGGGAAGAAAAAAGGCCGGGTAGGCGCGCGGCAGGCAGAAAGACAGCGCGCGCCCGAGGCGCGCGATAGGCAGTGGTGACAGCGGAAGCTTAGGTGGGCCCATGCACAGGATCGACCCTAGGAGGGTCGACCTGCTCTGATTCCATGTTAGAATGTGAGCGAATGAATGAAACAGAGAAGAGGGATTTCACTAGCAAGCAGTTCAGTACATATGGCAAACCCTAGATTGGGCTGTACTCACTACTGAGTACCCCACTGCAGGCTAGACAAACATAACATTCTGACAGGGGGGGGCGACGCGCGGCCCCCCAAGGCGCCACGACGGGCGACGGGGGGGCGACGCGCGGCCCCCAGGTCGCCTCGACGGGCGACGGGGGGGGGGGGGGGGGCGACACACAGCCCCCCAGGTCGCCGCGACGGGCGACGGGGGGGGGGCGACGCGCGGCCCCCCCAGGGCGCCACGACGGGCGACGGGGTGGAGACGCGCGGCCCCCAGGGCGCCGCGACGGGCGACGGGGGGGGCGACGCGCGGCCCCCCAGGGCGCCGCGACGGGCGACGGGATGGGGGGGGGGCCGACTCGCGAGCCCCCCAGGGCTCCGCGACGGGCGACGAGCAGGGCAGCGCGCGGGCCCCCAGGGCGCAGTGGGAGAAAGCAAACCGCCGCGCGCCCCGGGGCGCACGGCGGGCAGAAAACCGCCGCGCGCCTCAGGGCGCACGGCGGACAGAAAACTGCCACGCGCTCGGAGCGCGTGGCGGGAAGAAAAAACTTCGCGCACCAGGGGGCGCGCGACAGACAGGTCAGCAGCGGAAGCATTGGGTGGGCCCATCCACAGGATCGACCCGGGGGGGTCGACCTGCTCTGATACCATGTCAGAATCAACAGAAGGAATGAAACAGAGAAGAAGGAGGTTTCACTAGCAAGCAGTTGAGTACATATAGCAAACCCTAAATCGGGCTGTACTCACTATTGAGTACCCCACTGCAGGCTAGACAAATATAACATTCTGACAAATCTGACGCACACGACACACGGCGACGTATGGCGACGGCGACGTATGGAGAGGAATGCCTCGTGGCGACGAGGCCTCTACCGTCAGCGACGAGGCCTCTACCGTCAGCGACGAGGCCTCTACCATTAGCGACGAGGCCTCTACCGACGGCTGGCGTCACTTCGTCCGTCGTGCGGATCTCTTCGCCCAAGCTGAGGTAGCGTGTTCTGATTCTTTTCAGCGGATTCTTTTTTATTTTGTTTGTTCTGATTTCAACAGATTCTCCTTTTCCTTCTCGACGGTCTCGTTCTAATCCGTTCTCCTTCTCCTTCTCAACGACTTGTAGAAGCGGACCGTCAGCCGGCGTACGGGTGGCGAGGACGGATGACGATGTGTGGGGACGCGTGGCGCGAGTCACGGCGACGCTTCTTCGGTCGCGGTCGCACGACGTGTCTCGCGGGCGAGAGGCATGTCTCACGGCGGGACTCACGGTGCTTCTCTCTGCGCTTGGCGGCAACGTCAACGTGGTAAGTATCACTTCCGGTTTTCTGCTTTCGTTTTCTTCTAGATTCTAACTTCTTTTCGTGTGCTTCGTCTTAGTGCAGGAGCGGCGGTACCGGAAGGGGGAGCTCGCGGGGACAGCGCCGAGCAAAGGAGGTAACGCGGGAGGTGGTCTCCCTTGCCTGGTAAGTGCCGTCGGATTTTGTCAAGTTATTTCTTTGATTATGAAACTAACTTATTTTTGTGTGCGTTCTTCTTTAGCGCAGGCGATGCGGGGATCAACGGCGCTGGCGGCGATGGGAGGTCAAGCTACGAGGACTTCTCATTCTTGGTGAGTTTCAGTTCCAGTTCTTTTCTTTATATTTTCCCGATTCATTCTTCTTTTGTTGTGTGCTTTCTTCAGCGCAGGAGCAGCGGGAGCGGGAGCAGCGGCGCTGGCGGAGACAGGGAGGTCAAGCTACGAGGACTTCTCATTCTTGGTGAGTTTCAGTTCCTTTTCTTTTTCTTTATATCTTCCCGATTCTAACTTCTATTTTCGTCAGCTCTCCGTAAGCGCAGGAGCAGTGAGAGCGGGAGCAGGAGCAAACGCGGGAGCCAGTGGCAAACAAGGGAGGTAGGCAGGGAGGTGGTCTCCCTTGCATGGTACCGGTAAGTGCCGTCGGATTTCGTTACGTTTATTCTTTGATTATGAAACTAACTTATTTTTGTGTGCGTTCTTTAGCGCAGGCGAAGCGGGGATGGGAGCTCGCGGTCCACGTGGCGACGCTTCTTCGAGGATGTCTTACGCCAGGCCTGTAAGAGGGTGCTAGTGGGTACAGGACGATAAGGAGCGCGTTAGCCTAGGCTCGATTTAGGCACACACACACACGGGCGATAGTATGGATTCAGGTGTGTTCAGGTATGCCTCTTGACGGCTGGCCATCCTCTTGACAGCTGGCTGTCATTCTGACAACATTCTGACAACGGGGAACCTATCGTCAATTTCGAGGTGTTTATTTTCATCTGCCCGTCACTAATTTTAACCGTTCCCCCCCTCCCAAGCACCTCCCTCCCCTCCCCCCCAAGGAACTAAAATTTTAGGGTTGAGGCTCCCGAATGGCATGGAGTCCGAACGGGTTTTAGTTTTTTTCTGCCCGCGGTCAGCATGCTGATTCACTCGGTAGAGTGATCTAGCGAAATGGTACCGCTACCGAGCGCTACCGACGCTACCAAGTGCAATATATTGCTTTGTAACTTTCTCGCTCGACACAAGCGGAAGGCAAATCCGCCCCGTCAGCACAGACAGCTAAGTGCTGACTCACTACACAAATATCCCTTGCGCAAGTGGCAGAATCACGACTCGGTGCGAAGTTTTTGAAATCAGCGCAGGTTAGGTGTAAGAAGACGGCCAAGCCGCTCTGAAGTCAAGGCGCTGCTGTGGAGGCTGTTTAGAAAGCTTAGGATCGACTCTCAGTTCTGACTTGTAACTCTCTCTCTCTCTATTGAAAGCTTAGTATGAAATACTCTCTGTACTTTTCGATGACCTTTACTTTTCAATGACCTGTACTGTTAACAACTTTCGTACCTTGGACAGAGTTTGATCGTGAAACATAATAGGTGAAAGCTATGGCTAGGACATGAGAGTTACGCTTTTCGTAGTTCCTGAATTCTAACTCCATGCCTCGCGTCTCCAGCAGCAACTATTCTCATGATCGCATGATTAATATCGTAGTAGGACGTACCAAAGCGGATCGAGCCATGGTGGCGGTAATGGAGGCGCACCGCGACGCGCGCATGCATTTTGTCAGGGAAGTCGGTGGACTCGCGGTCGCACCTCAGGTGCTCCTTAGTCTCAGTCCGTTACGCTGTCTAATTTTAGCTTCTCTCAGCCTCGAAGCTTCGATCTTCGAATTCATGGCGCTACTGAGTGAGGTTCCTGACGCATTCCCGCCTCCGAGAGTCGTTCGATAATTTTATTGCGATTCGCCAGCTCGCCAGCGCGAGCATGCTCCCGCGATCCCAGTATTCTAGCATCCTAAGGGTCTCTGATGACTCTCGGCTCTTTTGACGAGGTAGTTGAATTGAAACGGAACGCGATTCGCCCACGTTTCTTCCCCCGCAGAACGCGGAGGCTCTGCTGTCGCTCGGCGCGCTGCATCTGCCATTCGCGCGGGACAGCATGGCGTCCGTGCGATCCGCTGCGACGCTGTTGATGGGTCGCCTGGCGAATGTGTCGCACACGTCCCGCGTTCTGTCCTTTGCCCCCTCTATCTCATGTCCTGCAGCCTGCGTTCTGCCCCCTCCTATCTCACGGCCTGCGTCTTGCGTTCCTCCCTTTGCCCTTTACCTCTCATCTTCTCGAATACCTTGGCCGTACATCACACGTTCCCGTGACTCTCATCTCCCCATGTTTCATGGCAGCACGAGGCTGAGGCTGTGGCGCGGAGTGATGAGACATGGCAGGATCAGGCTGTGGCGCGGATAGCCCTCTCCTCTCAGTGCTCAGGGATGCGGCACGCCACTCGCTGCTACATGCTACAGCCATCGCAGATGCGGGCGGCATTGCTGCCGCCGTCTCTTTGTTGGAATCACCTGACGCCAAGACAAGGCGCCAGGTGCTGTCGTTGAACCTGGCACCTGTTGTTTCAATGCACTCATTGTATTTCCTTTCATCCCATGTCAGCACCTATCTGCTGCTCATGCATCCCCAACGCCCACTCCCAACCCCAGAATAATCACTTCTGCCATCCGCTGCAGCTTTATCCTTGCTCCTTTCCTCGTCTTCACCCTGCAGCTGCCCTTTTCTTCTCTCTGCCCTTTTCTTCTCTCTGCCCTTGTTATTTGCTCCTGTACCACCACTTGAACCTCGGCATACCTCCAGCACCTCTAATGCGCGCTTCCATGCAGTCCGATTCAAGAGACTGATTGACTATCTCCCCTCCTCTCCCCTGCCTCCCACCAGCACCACCCGCTGGAGCATGAGGGCCTGCGCGCACAGTCTAAGTGTGTGGAGATTGTCAATATTCACAGCTAAACACATCGCAATGGTGTCACATACGGTGTACTTGCTTCCCATAGGTTACTGTATACAGTGATTTCGCAATTACACTCGTCTGTACAATGGGTGTAGTGTAGTTCCACGTGAGCAAGCAGTATTCAACATTTCAAGCTGCAGGGGCTTCCATGGTTTTGAATTCCTGGGCAGTCCAGCGGTACGGCAGCAGCATCTGAGCCACCCGAAGGGGCACATGTGCCGACAGCAACGCGTTTATTGAGGCCTCTTAAAAAACGAATTGATGATCAACCTTTCATGCTACAGGGGCATCCCGGGTTTTGAATTCCTCAGCATTCCAACGGTATGGCAGCAGCAGCTGCGCCACCCGCAGCGGCACATGTGCTGAGAGCAACGTGCCTTCAGGAAGGTGCTCCTGTGCGGGCGAAGGACGGGAAAGGGATGAGAAAAGAGGGGGGAAAGGGGACAGATGAAGAGGCAGAACAGCAGTTGCGCCACCCGCAGCGGCACATGTGCTGACAGCAACGTGCCTTCAGGTAGGTGCTCCTGTGCGGGAGAAAGAGGGGAGAACAAGGGTAGGAGGAATGGGTGGGGGTGGAGGAAGAGGGTGAGGGTGGTATGGCAGCAGCAGCAGCAGCTGAGCCACCCGTAGGTGCCGACAGCAACGTGCCTTCAGGTAGGTGCTCCTGTGTGGGTGAGGGGAGGGGGAAAGAGGCAGATGAAGAGGGGTAAAGAGGCAGATGAAGAGGGGGGGAAGGGGAGAGATGAAGAGGCATAACAGCAGCTGACCCACTCACAGCGGCACATGTGCCGACAGCAACATGCCTTCAGGTAGATGCTCCTGTGCGGGTGAGGGAAGGGGAAAGAGGCGGATGGAAAGGTAGAAAAACAGATGGAGAGGCAGAAGAGAGGATGAAAAAGGGAGGGTGCGTTGCTGCACTGCCAGCAACGGGCAATGAGGAGATGCTCCTGTGTGGTCATTCTGCTCTCGTCCCTCTCCATCTCACTGCAGCTCCCATCTCCCCCACACCTCTCTTCACAGCACCTTATGTTGTCCTCACCACTCCCACCCCTCCTCTCACCCCTCTCACCACCCTATCCACGGCACCCAGCTGGTACACAAGGCCCAGCAGATGCCCCTCCTGGTGTCTCCCATCGCTCCTTTCAGTGTCCCAACCTTTGCTCACCTTTTCTCACCACCTCTCACCTCTCTATCCACAGAGCCCAGCTGGTACACAAGCCCTAGCAGATGCCCCTCCTGTCTCCACTCAATCCTTTCAGTATTCCCACCTCCCACTCATCCTACCCCTTTCAAGCGCTTTCAACCCATCTCAACCTCCCTCTCACCTCGCTATCAACAGCGCCCAGCTGGTACACGAGCCCCAGCAGATGCCCCTCCTGGTACGGAATGATAGCTTCTATGCTCACTAGCAGGCCCTGAGAGAGGACATATGTGACAGGCACACACGTGGCAGGCATGACAGGGACGGACACACAAGGGAGCGCACATGGGATCACAGGAGCATTCACGAGCCATGTGCCCCTGAATGCATCCACACAAGGGCCCACACATGGGATGTCATGCATCCACACGGCTGTTGACTCCACCCAGCAGGTGACCCGGAAGATGGAGTCTCTGCTCACTAGCAGACCCTAGAAGAGGTTGTTTTTTACTTTTGAGGCGCCTCAAAAGAATTCTCAAAAACAACCTGCAGACGATGGAGTCTCTGCTCACCAGCAGACCCTAGAAGAGGCACACAGGGAAATTCATGTACATTCCCACATTACATGCGTATGGGGGCACAGGCGAGCGCTGCATGGAGCTGTGGCGGCATGCAGCGTTCTCATCTGGAACAGAATTGACTCATCTTGGCCAGCAGTGACCAGCATTGTCTCACGTTGACCAGCATTGACTCACGTTGACCATCTTTTCCAGCTCGTGAAACAACCCATCCATGCCCTCCCCCGTCACTGCTGACACCGCCACCATCCTGTGCCGCCCACCCTCTCTCCCGCCACGGTCTCTGCCGCCCGCACTGCTCTCTCTGCCGCCCAGGTTCTGGTCCAAGATGGCCTCCAGCTGGCGCTGCTGCTGCTGCAGCCAATCAGGGGACACCTGGTCTACCTGGGGGCAGCAGCGGGAAGCAGGGGAGAGACAAGGGACTGCTGGTGCGATGCTGCGGAGTGGATGTGTGTTGCTGTCGGGTGTGCAGCTTAGGTGAAAACCTGAAATTGTTTTGGTGCGCGCATGTTACTGCGTACACTTAGTACAGTGTAGCTTATTTTATGAGGGAAAGGGGGGAAAAAAAGGCTTTCAGGGTAAATCCAGTGAGTCCATATTCTGTAGCGAGGCATACCATATTGAGTACAAAGAGGCAGACCTTATTGAGGACGGTGAGCATGGGGATGTGGGAGACTTCCAGCTCAGCAAGCACTTGCAGCACCGCCGCCACCTGTTGCGCCGCCATTGGATGGCTGCTCAATGGGGGGAAGAGGAGGGCAGGAGAGGTGGAGTAAGTATGGCAGGATGGGCGAAGAAGAATGAAAGGAGAGCAAGTGAGTAGTTCACCTGATGACTCACCTGACAGCTCACCTGACAGCTCACCTGACAGCTCACCTGACGTCCACCACATGCAGCAGCACCGACGCCTCTGTGATCTCCTCCAACGTGGCTCTGAACGCTGCCACCTGGCACAATCCCATTGGTTTGTTCGGGCACAGGCAAGGTGGGCACGGCATTGTGAATGGAGGCGTTTTAGAGTGGTGAGGATAACTCAAGGCCGGTGCAGAACGGTGAAGGGAGGTGACGGATAAGAGGCAGGTGAGGACGATGGAAGGCTGATGGTGCCTGTTTGATGTGTTTGTCGCCTCTTTGATGCTCGATCTTTGACCTTCCACAGTTACTGCCCTAGTGACAAACAGCAGGGATTTTGATGCTCACGCGCAACTGGTGTCCTCTCTCTGTGTTTCAACTACACTGGCTCTGCGCTTCAACGCTCTGTGCGCTCACCAGCTGGGTGGGAAGCTTCTGAATGAACCCCACTGTGTCCGTCAACAGACACTCCTTGCCGTTGGGCAGCTGGTGGGTGAGGGGAAGGGGTGTGTAGTGAAGAGGGGGGATGAGCTGAAACGAGGAGAGAGGGAGCTGAGGGGGGAGTTGAATGAACCCCACTGTGTCCGTCAACAGACACTCCTTGCCGTTGGGTAGCTGGGGGACAGAGGGGAAGGGGTGTGTAGTGAAGAGGGGGGATGAGCTGAAACGAGGAGAGAGGGAGCTGAGGGGGGAGTTCAATGAACCCCACTGTGTCCGTCAACAGACACTCCTTGCCGTTGGGTAGCTGGGGGACGGAGGGGAAGGGGTGTGTAGTGAAGAGGGGGGATGAGCTGAAACGAGGAGAGAGGGAGCTGAGGGGGGAGTTGAATGAACCCCACTGTGTCCGTCAACAGACACTCCTTGCCGTTGGGCAGCTGGAGGGGGGTGAAGGTAGAGAGGGGGAGGGAGAGAGGAGAAGGGAGTAAAGAGAGAGCGAAACGGGCAGCTTCTGAATTGGCCCCAACATGTCCGCATGCCCGCCCCTGTAAGCCGGATGAGCAGGGTGCTGTTGCCCGCGTTGCTGCAGTGTATGGGCGTGCGGTGCACCATACGAGTGTGCAGTGCAGCGTACGAGCGTGCGGTGCAGCGTACGAGCGTGCGGTGCAGCGTACAAGCGTGCGGTGCAGCGTACGAGCGTGCGGTGCAGCGTACGAGTGTGCGATGCAGCGTACGAGTGTGCGGTGCAGCATACGAGTGTGCGGTGCAGCGTACGAGTGTGCGGTGCAGCGTACGAGTGTGCGGTGCAGCGTACGAGTGTGCGGTGCAGCGTACGAGCGTGCGGTGCAGCGTACGAGCGTGCGGTGCAGCGTATGAGCGGGCGGTGCAGCGTATGAGCGGGCGGTGCAGCGTATGAGCGGGCGGTGCAGCACCAGCATCAGCATCATTCAGCATTAGCATCAGCATCAGCATCAGCATTAGCATCAGTATCAGCATCATTCAGCACCAGCATCAGCATCAGCATCAGCATCAGCATTAGCATCAGCATCAGCATCAGCATCAGCATCAGCATCATTCAGCATCAGCATCAGCATCAGCATCAGCATCAGCATCAGCATCAGCATCAGCATCAGCATCAGCATCATTCAGCATCAGCATCAGCATCATTCAGCATCAGCATCAGCATCAGCATCAGCATTAGCATCAGCATCAGCATCAGCATCAGCATCAGCATCATTCAGCATCAGCATCAGCATCAGCATCAGCAGCGGGCGGTGCAGCGTATGAGCGGGCGGTGCAGCGTGTGAGCGGGCGGTGCAGCGTGTGAGCGGGCGGTGCAGCGTGTGAGCGGGCGGTGCAGCGTATGGGCGTGCGGTGCAGTGTGTGGGTCCCACCAGTGACAGCACCTGGATGGGCAGGCCTGAGTGTGCGAGTGTGTGGGGGGAGTGTGCAGCACCCAACCCACCTGTGTGCAGCGAGTGGTGGGGTCGAGGGTAGCAAACAACCTGTCTTCAGCCAACACGCCGGCCCCAGTGAGCCGGTTGAGCAGAGTGCTCTTGCCCGCATTGGTGTATCCCACCAGTGACGGTTGGCCTCACCAACCAAGGCCAGCAAGGAGCAAGCAGTGGAGCGCACACCCACCTGGGTGCGGCGAGTGGTGGGGTCGAGGGTAGCGAACAGCTTGTCTTCAGCCAACACGCCTGCTCCTGTGAGGCGGTTGAGCAGAGTGCTCTTGCCCGCGTTGGTGTATCCCACCAGCGACAGCACTGGGATGGGTAGCCCAGCTCGCCGGTCCCTGTGCTGCTGCCTGTGCTCCCTCACTGATGTGAGGCTGCGTCTCAGTGCTGCCATCTGGAGGGGAGAAGCAGGAAGAAGGAGGAGGGGAAGAAGAGGGAGAGAGGGTTGGTTGATGTATCCCACCAGCGACAGCACCGGGATGGGCAGGCCAGCCCGCCAGTTCCTGTGCTGCTGCCGGTGCTCCCTCACTGATGTGAGGCTGCGGCGCAGCACTGCCATCTTGGGGCGTAGATGGAGGGAGAGAAGGGGGGAGTGGGTGAGGGGGAGAGATGAAGAAGCTGCCAGGCTGCTGCTATCAGCGAGAAGGGACAAGGAGGGAAGAGGGGTTGGGAGCGGTGGGGTGGGAGCTAGGGGTTGGAAGAGAGAGCGTGGGAACAAGAGAGGGAGAAGCAGCAAGGAGCAAAAGACCCACCAAGTCGTATCCCCTCCATCCAACTTACCTTTTCCCTCAACTTGTCTCAACCCCTCTGCCCAAATCTCCCCCGTCTCCCTCCCTCCCCTTCCCTCCATTGACTCACCCGCTCTCTGATGATTCGTTTGTCCACCTCAATCTGCTTCTCCCCCATGCCATTCACCATGCCTCCAGCCTTCCTGCCTTGTAAATGGCCACAGAGGTACCCTCAGCAACCCCGTTCCCCACCTCTCTCCCTTGTCTCACGCACCCGTTCTCGGATGATCCGCTTATCAACCTCAATCTGCTTCTCCCCCATGCCCTTCACCATGCCGCCTGCCTGCCGCTCCAGATGTGTCCACATGCGTGTGAGGCGCGGCAGCTGGTATTCAAGTTGAGCCAGCTGGACCTGGTGGAGTGGGGGAGGACAGGGAAAGACAAGGTTAACGGGGACGGAGAGGCGGAGCGAAGGAAGTGGGAGGGGGCAGAGAGCGCACCTGAAATTCATTCTCACCTGCAGAGCACCTTCCTTGCTGCAGCAGCAGCTTGGGAACTGCAGATTGGGAACTGCAGATTGGGAACTGCAGATTGGGAACTGCAGATTGGGAACTGCAGATTGGGAACTGCAGATTGGGAACTGCAGATTGGGAACTGCAGATTGGGAACTGCAGATTGGGAACTGCAGATTGGGAACTGCAGATTGGGAACTGCAGATTGGGAACTGCAGATTGGGAACTGCAGATTGGGAACTGCAGATTGGGAACTGCAGATTGGGAACTGCAGATTGGGAACTGCAGATTGGGAACTGCAGCTTGGGAACTGCAGATTGGGAACTGCAGATTGGGAACTGCAGCTTGGGAACTGCAGCTTGGGAACTGCAGATTGGGAACTGCAGATTGGGAACTGCAGGTTGGGAACTGCAGATTGGGAACTGCAGATTGGGAACTGCAGATTGGGAACTGCAGATTGGGAACTGCAGATTGGGAACTGCAGATTGGGAACTGCAGATTGGGAACTGCAGATTGGGAACTGCAGATTGGGAACTGCAGATTGGGAACTGCAGATTGGGAACTGCAGATTGGGAACTGCAGATTGGGAACTGCAGATTGGGAACTGCAGATTGGGAACTGCAGATTGGGAACTGCAGATTGGGAACTGCAGATTGGGAACTGCAGCTTGGGAACTGCAGATTGGGAACTGCAGCTTGGGAACTGCAGATTGGGAACTGCAGATTGGGAACTGCAGATTGGGAACTGCAGATTGGGAACTGCAGATTGGGAACTGCAGATTGGGAACTGCAGATTGGGAACTGCAGATTGGGAACTGCAGCTTGGGAACTGCAGATTGGGAACTGCAGATTGGGAACTGCAGATTGGGAACTGCAGATTGGGAACTGCAGATTGGGAACTGCAGATTGGGAACTGCAGATTGGGAACTGCAGATTGGGAACTGCAGATTGGGAACTGCAGATTGGGAACTGCAGATTGGGAACTGCAGATTGGGAACTGCAGATTGGGAACTGCAGATTGGGAACTGCAGATTGGGAACTGCAGATTGGGAACTGCAGATTGGGAACTGCAGATTGGGAACTGCACATTGGGAACTGCAGATTGGGAACTGCAGATTGGGAACTGCAGATTGGGAACTGCAGCTTGGGAACTGCAGATTGGGAACTGCAGCTTGGGAACTGCAGCTTGGGAACTGCAGATTGGGAACTGCAGATTGGGAACTGCAGATTGGGAACTGCAGATTGGGAACTGCAGATTGGGAACTGCAGATTGGGAACTGCAGATTGGGAACTGCAGATTGGGAACTGCAGATTGGGAACTGCAGATTGGGAACTGCAGATTGGGAACTGCAGATTGGGAACTGCAGATTGGGAACTGCAGATTGGGAACTGCAGATTGGGAACTGCAGATTGGGAACTGCAGATTGGGAACTGCAGATTGGGAACTGCAGATTGGGAACTGCAGATTGGGAACTGCAGATTGGGAACTGCAGATTGGGAACTGCAGATTGGGAACTGCAGATTGGGAACTGCAGATTGGGAACTGCAGATTGGGAACTGCAGATTGGGAACTGCAGATTGGGAACTGCAGATTGGGAACTGCAGATTGGGAACTGCAGATTGGGAACTGCAGATTGGGAACTGCAGATTGGGAACTGCAGATTGGGAACTGCAGATTGGGAACTGCAGCTTGGGAACTGCAGCTTGGGAACTGCAGATTGGGAACTGCAGATTGGGAACTGCAGCTTGGGAACTGCAGCTTGGGAACTGCAGCTTGGGAACTGCAGCTTGGGAACTGCAGATTGGGAACTGCAGATTGGGAACTGCAGATTGGGAACTGCAGATTGGGAACTGCAGATTGGGAACTGCAGATTGGGAACTGCAGATTGGGAACTGCAGATTGGGAACTGCAGATTGGGAACTGCAGATTGGGAACTGCAGATTGGGAACTGCAGATTGGGAACTGCAGATTGGGAACTGCAGATTGGGAACTGCAGATTGGGAACTGCAGATTGGGAACTGCAGATTGGGAACTGCAGATTGGGAACTGCAGATTGGGAACTGCAGATTGGGAACTGCAGATTGGGAACTGCAGATTGGGAACTGCAGATTGGGAACTGCAGATTGGGAACTGCAGATTGGGAACTGCAGATTGGGAACTGCAGATTGGGAACTGCAGATTGGGAACTGCAGATTGGGAACTGCAGATTGGGAACTGCAGATTGGGAACTGCAGATTGGGAACTGCAGATTGGGAACTGCAGATTGGGAACTGCAGATTGGGAACTGCAGATTGGGAACTGCAGATTGGGAACTGCAGCTTGGGAACTGCAGCTTGGGAACTGCAGCTTGGGAACTGCAGCTTGGGAACTGCAGCTTGGGAACTGCAGATTGGGAACTGCAGATTGGGAACTGCAGATTGGGAACTGCAGATTGGGAACTGCAGATTGGGAACTGCAGATTGGGAACTGCAGATTGGGAACTGCAGATTGGGAACTGCAGATTGGGAACTGCAGATTGGGAACTGCAGATTGGGAACTGCAGATTGGGAACTGCAGATTGGGAACTGCAGATTGGGAACTGCAGATTGGGAACTGCAGATTGGGAACTGCAGATTGGGAACTGCAGATTGGGAACTGCAGCTTGGGAACTGCAGCTTGGGAACTGCAGATTGGGAACTGCAGCTTGGGAACTGCAGATTGGGAACTGCAGATTGGGAACTGCAGATTGGGAACTGCAGATTGGGAATGGGAACTGCAGATTGGGAACTGCAGATTGGGAACTGCAGATTGGGAACTGCAGACTGGGAACTGCAGATTGGGAACTGCAGATTGGGAACTGCAGATTGGGAACTGCAGATTGGGAACTGCAGATTGGGAACTGCAGATTGGGAACTGCAGATTGGGAACTGCAGATTGGGAACTGCAGATTGGGAACTGCAGATTGGGAACTGCAGATTGGGAACTGCAGATTGGGAACTGCAGCTTGGGAACTGCAGATTGGGAACTGCAGATTGGGAACTGCAGATTGGGAACTGCAGATTGGGAACTGCAGATTGGGAACTGCAGATTGGGAACTGCAGATTGGGAACTGCAGATTGGGAACTGCAGATTGGGAACTGCAGATTGGGAACTGCAGATTGGGAACTGCAGCTTGGGAACTGCAGATTGGGAACTGCAGCTTGGGAACTGCAGCTTGGGAACTGCAGATTGGGAACTGCAGATTGGGAACTGCAGATTGGGAACTGCAGATTGGGAACTGCAGATTGGGAACTGCAGATTGGGAACTGCAGATTGGGAACTGCAGATTGGGAACTGCAGATTGGGAACTGCAGATTGGGAACTGCAGATTGGGAACTGCAGATTGGGAACTGCAGATTGGGAACTGCAGATTGGGAACTGCAGATTGGGAACTGCAGATTGGGAACTGCAGCTTGGGAACTGCAGCTTGGGAACTGCAGCTTGGGAACTGCAGATTGGGAACTGCAGATTGGGAACTGCAGATTGGGAACTGCAGATTGGGAACTGCAGATTGGGAACTGCAGATTGGGAACTGCAGATTGGGAACTGCAGATTGGGAACTGCAGATTGGGAACTGCAGATTGGGAACTGCAGATTGGGAACTGCAGATTGGGAACTGCAGATTGGGAACTGCAGATTGGGAACTGCAGATTGGGAACTGCAGATTGGGAACTGCAGATTGGGAACTGCAGATTGGGAACTGCAGATTGGGAACTGCAGATTGGGAACTGCAGATTGGGAACTGCAGATTGGGAACTGCAGATTGGGAACTGCAGATTGGGAACTGCAGATTGGGAACTGCAGATTGGGAACTGCAGATTGGGAACTGCAGATTGGGAACTGCAGATTGGGAACTGCAGATTGGGAACTGCAGATTGGGAACTGCAGATTGGGAACTGCAGATTGGGAACTGCAGATTGGGAACTGCAGATTGGGAACTGCAGATTGGGAACTGCAGATTGGGAACTGCAGATTGGGAACTGCAGATTGGGAACTGCAGATTGGGAACTGCAGATTGGGAACTGCAGATTGGGAACTGCAGATTGGGAACTGCAGATTGGGAACTGCAGATTGGGAACTGCAGATTGGGAACTGCAGCTTGGGAACTGCAGCTTGGGAACTGCAGATTGGGAACTGCAGATTGGGAACTGCAGATTGGGAACTGCAGATTGGGAACTGCAGATTGGGAACTGCAGATTGGGAACTGCAGATTGGGAACTGCAGATTGGGAACTGCAGATTGGGAACTGCAGATTGGGAACTGCAGATTGGGAACTGCAGATTGGGAACTGCAGATTGGGAACTGCAGATTGGGAACTGCAGATTGGGAACTGCAGATTGGGAACTGCAGATTGGGAACTGCAGATTGGGAACTGCAGATTGGGAACTGCAGATTGGGAACTGCAGATTGGGAACTGCAGCTTGGGAACTGCAGATTGGGAACTGCAGATTGGGAACTGCAGATTGGGAACTGCAGATTGGGAACTGCAGATTGGGAACTGCAGATTGGGAACTGCAGATTGGGAACTGCAGATTGGGAACTGCAGATTGGGAACTGCAGATTGGGAACTGCAGATTGGGAACTGCAGATTGGGAACTGCAGATTGGGAACTGCAGATTGGGAACTGCAGATTGGGAACTGCAGATTGGGAACTGCAGATTGGGAACTGCAGATTGGGAACTGCAGATTGGGAACTGCAGATTGGGAACTGCAGATTGGGAACTGCAGATTGGGAACTGCAGATTGGGAACTGCAGATTGGGAACTGCAGATTGGGAACTGCAGATTGGGAACTGCGGATTGGGAACTGCAGATTGGGAACTGCAGATTGGGAACTGCAGATTGGGAACTGCAGATTGGGAACTGCAGATTGGGAACTGCAGATTGGGAACTGCAGATTGGGAACTGCAGATTGGGAACTGCAGCTTGGGAACTGCAGATTGGGAACTGCAGATTGGGAACTGCAGATTGGGAACTGCAGATTGGGAACTGCAGATTGGGAACTGCAGATTGGGAACTGCAGATTGGGAACTGCAGATTGGGAACTGCAGATTGGGAACTGCAGATTGGGAACTGCAGATTGGGAACTGCAGATTGGGAACTGCAGATTGGGAACTGCAGATTGGGAACTGCAGATTGGGAACTGCAGATTGGGAACTGCAGATTGGGAACTGCAGATTGGGAACTGCAGATTGGGAACTGCAGATTGGGAACTGCAGATTGGGAACTGCAGATTGGGAACTGCAGATTGGGAACTGCAGATTGGGAACTGCAGATTGGGAACTGCAGATTGGGAACTGCAGATTGGGAACTGCAGATTGGGAACTGCAGATTGGGAACTGCAGATTGGGAACTGCAGATTGGGAACTGCAGATTGGGAACTGCAGATTGGGAACTGCAGATTGGGAACTGCAGATTGGGAACTGCAGATTGGGAACTGCAGATTGGGAACTGCAGATTGGGAACTGCAGATTGGAGCTGCAGTTCCAGCTTGGGAACTGGAGCTGCAGTTCCAACCGCGGAACAGGAGCTGCAGATCTGGCGCTGCGGAACAGGAGCTGCAGTCCCGGCTTGGGAACTGGAGGTGCAGGTGCAGCTAGGAAACTGCAGCTTGGGAACTGCGTCGGCTGAAGATGTCAATGATGAGCGCTGGGCGACTCGTGGAGCTGACACGGGCAATATGCTGCCTGTGAATCCCCTCACGGTGCATGTGAATCCCCTCACGGTGCATGTGAATCCCCTCACGGTGAATGTGAATCCCCTCACGGTGCATGTGAATCCCCTCACGGTGCATGTGAATCCCCTCACTGTGCAAGAAGCTCAGCTGAGTACAGCTAACCTGCAGAGCGGCCTCCCTGGTGTTGGCTTTTTGGCTGAATATGTCACCATCCCTCCACACCCATTCCCCTGCTGCATGTGCATACCCTCATATGTGCCACGAATACAACTCTAGTACCCACCCACTTGCAGAGCAGCCTCCTTGGTGTTGGCTCGCCTTTTGAGGCGCCTCAAAAGTCCTCCTTGGTGTTGGCTCGCTGACTGAAGATGTGAATGATGAGTGCCGCACGACTGCTGCGCGAATGCATGCATTGCTGCTGCGCGACGTGCAATGCAAGTGTGAGCCTGGAATGCCACGCGAGCACCCACAGGTGCAAAATGATGACCACACCTGCAATTCGTGCTCACCTGCAGAGTGGCCTCCTCGGTGTTGGCTCGTTGACTGAAGATGTCAATGATGAGTGCGACTGCTGCGCAAATGCAACACGTGAATGCACACTCCCACACACGTGCAACATGTGAATGCACACTCCCACACACGTGCAACATGTGAATGCACACTCCCACACACGTGCAACATGTGAATGCACACTCCCACACACGTGCAACATGTGAATGCACACTCCCACACACGTGCAACATGTGAATGCACACTCCCACACACGTGCAACATGTGAATGCACACTCCCACACACGTGCAACATGTGAATGCACACTCCCACACACGTGCAACATGTGAATGCACACTCCCACACACGTGCAACATGTGAATGCACACTCCCACACACGTGCAACATGTGAATGCACACTCCCACACACGTGCAACATGTGAATGCACACTCCCACACACGTGCAACATGTGAATGCACACTCCCACACACGTGCAACATGTGAATGCACACTCCCACACACGTGCAACATGTGAATGCACACTCCCACACACGTGCAACATGTGAATGCACACTCCCACACACGTGCAACATGTGAATGCACACTCCCACACACGTGCAACATGTGAATGCACACTCCCACACACGTGCAACATGTGAATGCACACTCCCACACACGTGCAACATGTGAATGCACACTCCCACACACGTGCAACATGTGAATGCACACTCCCACACACGTGCAACATGTGAATGCACACTCCCACACACGTGCAACATGTGAATGCACACTCCCACACACGTGCAACATGTGAATGCACACTCCCACACACGTGCAACATGTGAATGCACACTCCCACACACGTGCAACATGTGAATGCACACTCCCACACACGTGCAACATGTGAATGCACACTCCCACACACGTGCAACATGTGAATGCACACTCCCACACACGTGCAACATGTGAATGCACACTCCCACACACGTGCAACATGTGAATGCACACTCCCACACACGTGCAACATGTGAATGCACACTCCCACACACGTGCAACATGTGAATGCACACTCCCACACACGTGCAACATGTGAATGCACACTCCCACACACGTGCAACATGTGAATGCACACTCCCACACACGTGCAACATGTGAATGCACACTCCCACACACGTGCAACATGTGAATGCACACTCCCACACACGTGCAACATGTGAATGCACACTCCCACACACGTGCAACATGTGAATGCACACTCCCACACACGTGCAACATGGTACCACAGGGGTCTGACTATCTCACCTGCAGAGTTGCCTCCTTGGTGTTGGCTCGTTGACTGAAGATGTCAATAATGAGTGCCGTGCGATCGCACACCCTCACAGGTCCCACAGACACAGCTCTAGTACCCAACCAAGGGTACCTGCAGAGTTGCCTCCTTGGTGTTGGCGCGTTGACTGAAGATGTCAATGATGAGTGCCGTGCGATCGCACACCCTCACATCGCCGCCGAACTCTTTCTCCAGATTGCGCAGCTGACTGGGAGGGTGGGGAGTTGGTTGGGAAAAAGGGGAAGTAAAGAGGGAAAGAGAGACAAGTAGTGCGATCGCACACCCTCACATTGCGCAGCTGCATATGGAGAGGGAAAAGGGTGGAGCAGGCAAGAACCAGGGGGAGTAGAGTGGGCGGAAGGGGAGCAGCCGAACTCTTTCTCCAAGTTGCGCAGCTGACTGTGTGCGGGGAGGAAGGGGAGCAGGCGGGAATTATCAGGGGAGAGGTCACGTGGGCAAGAGGCAATGAGTGCCGTGCGATTGCACACCCTCACGTCATCCCGAGGTGAGGGTGTGCGACTCGGCAATCGACTCATCACCCGTCGACTCAACAGTCGACTCCAAAATCGACTCATCACACGTGGGCGAGAGGCAATGAGTGCCGTGCGATCGCACACCCTCGCGTCAACCCCCCACATTGGGTTGGGAACACGTGCTTTCAACAGTTTATCTTTGTGATTTGACGCTCTCTCTATGTGAGTCGACGCTCTACCTATGCGAGTCGACGCTCTATCTATGTGAATCGACGCTCTAACTATGTGAGTTGACGCTCTATCTATGTGAGTCGATGCTCTATCAATGTGAGTCGACGCTCTATCTATGCGAGTCGACGCTCTATCTATGCGAGTCGACGCTCTATCTATGTGAGTCGACGCTCTATCTGTGTGAGTCAACGCTCTATCTGTGTGAGTCGACGCTCTATCTATGTGAGTCGACGCTCTATCTATGTGATTCGATGCTCTATCTGTGTGAGTCGACGCTCTATCTATGTGATTCGACGCTCTATCTATGTGGCTCGACGCTCTATCTATGTGAGTCGACGCTCTATCTATGTGAGTCGACGCTCTATCTATGTGAGTCGACGCTCTATCTATGCGAGTCGACGCTCTATCTATGCGAGTCGACGCTCTATCTATGAGAGTCGAAGCCCTATCTATGTGAGTCGACGCACTATCTATGTGAGTTGACGCTCTATCTATGTGAGTCGACGCTCTATCGATGTGAGTCGATGCTCTATCTATGTCTATCCATGTGAGTCGACGTTCTATCTATGTGAGTCGACGCTCTATCCATGTGAGTCGACGCTCTATCTATGTGAGTCGACGCTCTACCTATGTGAGTCGACGCTCTATTTATGTGAGTCGACGCTCTATCTATGCGAGTCGATGCTCTATCTACGTGAGTCGACGCCCTATCTATGTGAGTCGATGCTCTATCTCTGCGGGTCGACGCTCTATCTCTGTGAGTCGACGCTCTTTCTTTGTGAGTCGACGCTCTATCTGTGAGTGGACGAACGCTCTTTCTTTGTGAGTCGACGCTCTATCTATGTGAGTCGACGCTGTACCTATGTGAGTCGACGCTCTATCTATGTGAGTCGACGCTCTATCTATGTGAGTCGACGCTCTATCTATGTGAGTCAACGCTCTATCTATATGAGTCGACGCTCTACCTATGTGAGTCGATGCTCTATCTATGTGAGTCGACGCTCTATCTATGTGAGTCGACGCTCTACCTATGTGAGTCGACGCTCTATTTATGTGAGTCGACGCTCTATCTATGCGAGTCGATGCTCTATCTACGTGAGTCGACGCCCTATCTATGTGAGTCGATGCTCTATCTCTGCGGGTCGACGCTCTATCTCTGTGAGTCGACGCTCTTTCTTTGTGAGTCGACGCTCTATCTGTGAGTGGACGAACGCTCTTTCTTTGTGAGTCGACGCTCTATCTATGTGAGTCGACGCTGTACCTATGTGAGTCGACGCTCTATCTATGTGAGTCGACGCTCTATCTATGTGAGTCGACGCTCTATCTATATGAGTCGACGCTCTACCTATGTGAGTCGATGCTCTATCTATGTGAGTCGACGCTCTATCTATGTGAGCCGACGCTCTATCTATGCGAGTCGGTGCTCTATCTATGTGAGTCGACGCTCTACCTTTGTGAGTCGACGCTCTATCTATGTGAGTCGACGCTCTATCTATGTGAGTCGACGCTCTATCTATGCGAGTCGACGCTCTATCTATGTGAGTCGACGCCCTATCTATGTGAGTCGATGCTCTATCTCTGCGGGTCGACGCTCTATCTCTGCGGGTCGACGCTCTATCTCTGTGAGTCGACGCTCTTTCTTTGTGAGTCGACGCTCTATCTGTGAGTGGACGAACGCTCTTTCTTTGTGAGTCGACGCTCTTTCTTTGTGAGTCAACGCTCTATCATCGATCATTCCCCCTCAACCCCCCACTCACTCACCCCGCGCTCAGCTCATCGTCAAACACCACCGTCTCCACACCCATGCCCACCACCGCTGCTCGCACCTCCTCCACCTTGCCTGCTCCGATGTATGTTCGTGGGTTGGGGGACGCTACCCTGGTAAAGGCAGGGATTGGAGGAGTTGGGGAAGGGCGCAGGGTGGGCTTGGTATCACGGCAGTGGCGCTGCTCGCACCTCCTCCATCTTCCCTGCCCCAATGTACGTTCGTGGGTTGGGGGACGCTACTCTGGTAGAGGCCAGGGAGGGGAGAGAGGCGATGCTGTAGGCCCATGCCCGCCACCGCTGCTCGCACCTCCTCCACCTTGCCGGCCCCGATGTATGTGCGTGGATTGGGGGACGCTACCCTGGGACAGGGGGAACAAGGAAGAGGGGGGAGAGGGGATGGGTTGGGCTTGGGATCATAGCAGTGACGCTGCTCGCACCTCCTCCACCTTGCCCGCCCTGATGTACGTGCACAGGTTGGGGAAAGGCAGGGATGGGAGTAGGGGGAGGGGGTGCTTTTGATTCCCGCCACTGCTCGCACTTCCTCCACCTTGCTTTTGAAGGAAGAGAGGAAACAGTGCCTAAATACCCTGCTGCAAACACAAACCGAGTGTAATGTCCTAGAGCTTCTTCCTAGTACCTCTCGCACACCTCTATAATCTGCTCACCTCTGGTGTGTGGAGCCAATAACCCTGAGCCCCGCTGTTTCCACCAGCTGAGACAGCTCCGCCAATGACTCCTCTATGGGGAACAGCTTTCTTCTTACTCCCTCTTTCCTCTTACTGGCTCCCGTTCACCCCTTCAATTCAATCTGCCCGCCTCACCTCTGTGCGTGGAGCCAACGACCCTGAGCCCCGCCGTCTCCACCAGCTGTGACAGCTCCGCCAATGACTCCTCTATGGGGAACAGATTTTCCCTTGTTCCACTTGGAGTCGACTCAGAACCCACCTCTAGTGCGTACAGCCAAGGACCCACCTCTAGTGCGTACAGCCAAGGACTCACCTCTGGTGCGTGCTGCCTACAACCCTGAGCCCGGCCGTCTCCACCAGCTGAGACAGCTCCGCCAGCGACTCCTCTATGGGGAACAGCGTGGGCGCGGAGAGGGAGGCGGAGGTGGAGGAGGGGGAGGGGGAGCGGGAAGCGGAGGTGGAGGAGGTGGAGGAGGTGGAGGAGGTGGAGGAGGGGGAGCGGGAGGCGGAGGTGGAGGAGGGGGAGCGGGAGGCGGGTGCAGAGGGCCGGACCTCCACGCCCACCAGGAAGGCTCTCTCCTCGAGAATCTGACAGGGGGGAAGGAGAGGGGGGAAGGGGGAGCGGTGAGCGGAGAGTGGGGGCGGAGGGGGAGGGGGAGGCGGAGGGGGAAGTGGGTTGCAGAGGGTCTGACCTCCACGCCCACTAGGAAAGCTCTCTCCTCGAGAATCTGACAGGAGGAGGGGGGAGAGGGGAGGGGGAAGGGGAGGAGGGAATGGGAGGATGGGAGGGGAGGTCGGGAAAGGGGAGAAAGAATTTGCATCCTTCCCTCACCTCTCCTCTTCTCCTAACCTTCCCCCTCCCCTTTTCACACCTCCCCGCCCCACTTCCCCTCACCTCGCGCCCGTTTCTCAGTCTGAACCGTTTAGTCATCTCTTCATCTGACGACCACCCAACTTCCCTCCCGCCCTCACCTCACCTCTCCCCCCCTCCATGAATCCCCCCCCACTTCCCCTCACCTCGCGCCCGTTTCTCAGTCTGAACCGTTTAGTCATCTCTTCATCTGACGACCACCCAACTTCCCTCCCGCCCTCACCTCACCTCTCCCCCCCTCCATGAATCCCCCCCCACTTCCCCTCACCTCGCGCCCGTTTCTCAGTCTGAACCGTTTAGTCATCTCTTCATCTGACGACCACCCAACTTCCCTCCCGCCCTCACCTCACCTCTCCCCCCCTCCATGAATCCCCCCCCACTTCCCCTCACCTCGCGCCCGTTTCTCAGTCTGAACCGTTTAGTCATCTCTTCATCTGACGACCACCCGCCTCTCAGATCCTTCCCGCCCTCCCCCTCCTTTGACTGCCACGTGGCAAACGTAGCATCCCACCCTTCCCCCTCCGCCTCTTCCCCTGCCCGTGCTTCCCCCTGCCCTTCCCCCTGCCCTTCCCCCTGCCCTTCCCCCTGCCCTGCCCCTTGGCCTTCCGCCATCCCCCACTCAAACCACCCGCCTCCCCCGTCGTCTTCCGCACTACCGCTCCCCCTCCGTCCTTCCGCTTCGCGTGCTGCTGACGTCACTCTCCGCGGATCTTCCGCTTGCCCTCGAGATTCCCCCCAAGTGGAGGAAAAAGCGGATGAATCCAGCGGACTGGCGCGCTCCGGGGGAACCGCGCGGGGAGCTACATTCGCTCGTCTGCGGAACTCGCGAGACGCGGCGGTCGCGGCGGTCGCGGCGCTTCGTCCGCCGCTTGTCGCGGACGAGCGCCGCACGTGCAGGGCAGCGCGCGGAAACCGACCGCCAAGCGCTGACTGCGCACTCGCGACAGATTCTACATGCTCGGCGCGCAGGGGAGTGCGGTCGACAAATCTAGGCCGCAGGGGAGCGGAGAAACATTGAGAAGATCGGCGATTTCTGATGGACGGAGGAGCGTAGACAACGGCGAAATGTGCTTGTGGACAGGTCGTGGCGCTACACGTGGTTATCATGGCGACGCGAGCAGCAAGATACCTCGCTTGAAATGAATTTGAGTGGACTAGAAAACTCAGCTACACAGTCCTGCTGCTGGTACTTGGAGCGAGCGATTGCGGGAGCGCAGCAACGATTGCGGGAGCGCAGCAACGATTGCGGGAGCGCAGCAACGATTGCGGGAGCGCAGCAACGATTGCGGGAGCGCAGCAACGATTGCGGGAGCGCAGCAACGATTGCGGGAGCGCAGCAACAATTGCAAGCTCACATGCTTGAACATGGAAGGACTAAGGACGCATCGCAATTGAAACATCGATCCTGCAAGGGATCGATGTGTGAGTCTACAGTATCTCCGCGAAGTCGCGAATGGTAGGGTAACTCTTTTTCGTTAGATGTCGCGCAAACTCAAGTCACAATAAGATTGTCCAGTATTGAGCTCCCTCTTCAAGAGTTAAAGCTTTCGTATACATTTGACAGAAGGGGTTCAAAAACTTTTGAAATTTGAAAGTTTGCCTGTGAGACCGTGAGGTGACTTTCTAAACCCAAAACCTGGATGACAAATGTATACTTCAGCTTTAACAAAGCTCAGAAACGTTCAAAACTCCGCCAAAATTGGAACCTCCAGGGCGATCGTGTCCACGCAGGTTGAAATCTGGCTATGGCGATCGATGCTCACGATTTCGATGTGTGGTCCCAATCCTCATCCGGTGTTGCAATTGTGACGCGCCCTAAGAGCAACTCTTTAGAAGGTGCAAACTTGCTGGAATGAAAGTGCAGCCCGTTATAAGTTATAACACTAGGTAATTCATTTACAATTAGGACATTTATTTGACCTACAAATAATGTACAGCGAAAATGCTCAAGCGGGAACGCGGTCTGCCCTGCATCTGCACCACCTTGGTGCGCGAATTCCACCAATCTTCCCCCCTCCACCGCCGTGCACATTCCAGTTCAAATCAGCTGCAAGCTGAATTAGCCACGCGGCGCCTCCTCACCTCACATCCCCCAGGCTTCCCTAGCATCGCGAGCAACCAACAATTCCACGCGACGGGAGATCCAACAGTGCGGGTGAGGTGGTTGAGAAAGGCCCACAATCTGAGCCGATCCGTCTTTGTTGCGGCGAGCCCCGCCGAAAGGTCGATCAGCCCTGCCCAGCGAGCCTCGCCCCGCTCATAGCATCTCGAGCGTCCATTCCCCGCACGATCACTGTCCCGGGGGGCTGATGCGACTTGAGATCGTTCGTCCCAAGGTCGATCCGGCTCAAGCGTAGCTGCCATAGCTCGGAATGCCGCATGCCGCGGCGGCACCTGCGCCGCTTCTTAGGTAGCTGGGGAATATCTCATTCCGCTTCGCGCCTCCGTTACCGCCGAACGCGGTACCGTGCGTGTGCGCGGGGCCCTGAGGTTTGTCCTGCGCCGCGCGCTGCTGCATATTAAGCGGGAAGAGCTTCTGGATAGATTCGTCTCCGGGCAGGCGAAGCGCGGGGGAATTGGAGAACGTGAGCGCAAACAGAACGTGTTCGGGCATACTGGCACCTGCCGCCGACATAAATCTATTCCGTGGACCCGACGCGAGGGGAACGATGTCGACGATCTCGAGGCGCGCGCGCTGAAACTCCATTTCCTCGGATTGCTGCTGCGCCTCGTCGAAGTTAAGGCAGACGGATTTAATGTCCGAGAAGTCGAGCTCGCCCTGCTCGTTCTCCTCCGGCTCACAATAGTAGTCGTCGGCCGCCGAAGCGGACTCGCGGGCGGAGTAGGCAGACGCGGCTTGCGATTGCTGCTCGTGCCATGAGCTCTGCGAGGAGGCTGGAGAGGGGAGAAGGAAGGGACGAGAGGCGAGAGAGCACAGGTTAGTGACTTCGTACTTTGAAAATCAAGTTGCGCAGATACGGGACGAGGTGGAAGTAGTAAAGGAGGATATGCTAGAGCGCGGAAATGTTTCAAGATACTCACTTTCGGAGGCTGCCGCGCTGCTCGCTCGCAGAAGTTTCTCGCGAAGTGACGATTCCCTCATCGTCGCCGTCTGCTGCGATACCGCGCGAGGGTCGCTCGATTGTCGCCACGCGCGATTCGCCGGCGATTGGCCCGACGCCTCAGACGACGCGCAGCTGAAGCTCGGCATGAGCGGCGTCACAGGCGATCCGGTGTAGCTGCCGTAGTCGCTGATTCCCGCTAGAGACGCCACGTTGGTGCCCTTGCTTCCCGAATTAATCGACGTGAATCGCGCGTTGCCGCCCATCTGCTGCTGCAGAAGCTGCTGCGCGAGCGACACGCGGCCGGTGGACGGGCGACTGTTACCCGACGACGTGTTCGAGGGGGTATCGGAGATTATCGACAGCGCCCCCGAGTTGTTCGCGGAGTTGGGCTGGGAGGTCGCCGGGCTGCCGAGGCCGCTTCTGGGGGAAGAGACGGCGGAGCGCGGCGAGTTGAGGTCGTTAAAGCCGCAGATGTCGGAAAGGTTCGCGACGCTGTTGGAGTCGGAGTCGCCGCAGATCTCGGAGAGATCAACAGCGCTATCGGGGAAGCGCGGATCGGCGGCATTTACAAGCGCGGGCGGCTGCTTGCACCACTCCTCGGTGTTCTCGGTGCGCAGAGCGAACTTGCTGAAGTGCGAGGCTGCAGACTCGTCGCCCCATGGACTGGCTGTGGCTGTGGCCATGCTGATCGCAAGTAGTTTACGGGATGGGTCGACCAGAAACTGCTTCGGCGTTTGATTTGCTAACGAAAGGCTGTAGTGTCACAAGGTTTTAGTGTGTGAGCGACGCTTCAAGATGTTTAGCTGGCTTGAGCGGAGCTTGCTTTAGACTGGAAGTAGGAAGCTGAGGTGTTGAAAGTGACGGTTGTGTTTGCCTGTGGTTTGCCTTGCTGGAACTCGCTCTTTGTAGGTGGCTCACCCTTCACTGCAACCCCATCCTTGCTGGATGCCTAGGAAAATCGAGGGACTTCTGGGCCGTGTGTGTGGGGGATTCGATCGAGCCGCTTGGTAGACGCGCTTCGACATCTCCCCTTCCTCGTGGGTTTTTCCTTCTCCCCCCCTCTCCCCCCACATGGCGTGGATGAACAGTTTAGGTGAGGCATCGTTTCGTTATCCACACCAACGCTAATGAACAGAGTTGTACTGAGGGAGTGAGGTTTGTTGAAAAAAGGACCAACAACTCTGCACTGTACTCGACGTGATCCTTGGCTGCCCGATGTAGAACCGATCCTTTGCTAAGCACGGTCGGAGAATTGGGCAGTAAGTATAGCATCGGGGATTGCACGGGCTCAGGGTGTACTGATTGAACATCACCATTGTCATTCGAAGCTTTCGATGGTAGTACCAGTCACTTAGACGGAATGCTTTTCTGCAACAAACAATATGGCGGAAAAGAACGAGTATTTCCCATCGAACTCGGTTCACTGCAGCTGTAACGAACCATAGCCACAACAAGCCATCGACACAGCACGTCAACACATGTCATCCTCCCGCGAAATCTCGGCAACTGCAAACGCATGCTCGTGTAACGCAGGTTTTGCAAATACGACAATTTAAATTTCGCGTTTGGTAAAGCAAACAACGTCCACGCTGGACTGTCGAACCAACCACAAGCATCCAAATTTTTTGCATCCCTCTCGCCCATTCCACCGCACATGGCCCATTATGCTTTGAACAGTAAAGCTATGGGGCGCACAGAGAACCACGGAAACAGCAGCGTTGTAAAAAGCACGTGCACTGCTGTACGATCAACAAACAGCCAAGTCGGTGAATCGGATAGGTCGAATGGTTAAAGGCGGGGTGCAACTTCTTAGGAACAGTAGCAGGACAAACATGGAGTGTGCGTAACGAGACCCTTATTGGATGAAAAAAATGGAATCTCGGAAAAGACAAACTTCTCGCCACAGAACTGCCTGGGACAACCAAGTTCCAAGCTATAATACTTCGAAGTTGAAGCTGATAGTTGGGCCACGGCTTTAACGGATCAGTTGTTCAGCCTGCACGTGCTGCTGACTGCGCCAATTCAAAAGATTTGTCCGTTCCCACCAACTCCACTTTCCGGCCATAAAAAAGATACGCAACCAATCCATCCTTGAGCGAACTCTGCGGCTGGTTTGGCGTGGGCCTTCCAAGTGTGTGTGTGTGGGGGGTGACGGGTCATAGCTGCTCCAGACCTTTTGAATTACTGCACCTAGTTGAGTTCTGATACTGCATATACACCTACCACATCAATTATAAGATTGTGGTTATAGCTAAACTAGTATCAAGGCTGTTGTTAAAGCTCGAGGCCCAGATTGCGCAATAGTATTAATATTGCGCAAGGTTTAGTGCTGGGGGATGAGGGTGGTGAACGCAAAGACGGGGGTGGTGTCGATTTGGGAGGGTGGCTTGTCTGAAATCCAATTCCTAATGCAAAACTTGCTGCTGCTGCTGTTGTCTATTTTTTCCGCTGAGTCAGCCAACTTCATGGGGCTCCGTGTGCTAGGGGACCTCGAGTCCCAATTTGCAGAGTTGAGGAACCTGAAGTTTTCTACGTGAGTCTCGACCAATCATAAATTGCTTCGTAAGTGTGTTTTACGAGAGTAACAACTGTTGGAAACAATTGATTTAGTGCCTCTGTCGTGTCGAAACACCAAGTCAGAAGCGAAACGAAACATATCGAAGCATTAGCGAATCAACCCTCGGAGGTTGAACAACTGCTGGAGGTTATGCTAAAGTCAAAGGTCAGTGACTTTTGACTTGACAAATACAGCGCGACAGCAAGGACAAACAACTGACTCGCTATTGAGCAGTTGCCCGAGTCGTCACTGTACTGAACCGCAACAGCAACATCAAAACAGTTATTAACTGTATCTCTTCGTATTCATTGTACTCTTATAAAAGCTTGTATCCCTTTGTTTTAATTAATATACTTTGCCCTCACATACTAGCGCAAGGTGGTTCACACAGTTTTCATTTAACGCTTCCGCTATTACATTGTCCTACTCAGAATTTAGTCATGCAAAGATCCTAAGGGCTTTTCTCAGCCCAACAACAACACCCTCACTTTCTCTCAATCTAAACCTCATAAAGCTCCCGATCATCAGTCTGTCCTTCGGGTGTTCAAGCACATTTGACTAACATGGCTAGTGTGCTCAGATGAGGACTCCATGCGTGCATGCTACTAAACTGGTCAATAGCATTCTTATTTCACCAAAGGTTCAGATTTGCAAATGCCTTATTTATTGCTAAGAATTTTGATAGACAAATCAAACATACATCAGGGTAGACCAGATGTGCAGATGCAGCCGGACGATATTGTCAGAGGTCCACTGGTGATCCCCGATTGATCCTAGGGAAGGGTTACAGGCTCGTTGTCCTGGGGGGTTATGGGCGCACTGACCCGCTACTTAACAAGCCTTTTTATCCCAATGGTCTAGTGGTTGGGATTCTGACATGGTATCAGAGCGGTCTCGGGTTCGAATCCCAGTGTGTGCACTTCGGGCATCCCAGTGCGGGGGGGTGTCAGAGGTCTACTGGTGATCCCCGATTGATCCTAGGGAAGGGTTACATGCTCGTTGTCCTGGGGGGTTATGGGCGCACTGACCCGCTACTTAACAAGCCCTTTTATCCCAATGGTCTAGTGGTTGGGATTCTGACAGATATGACCTCTTTGTCAAACTATATGTTAGTGTCCTCTCTATGCTATAGTGGGTTAGCCTACAAGGGGTACAACATTTCAGGGTTAGTATTTGTACCCAACTTTTTCATAGTTCATTCATTCTTGCACAGTTATTCTGACATGGTATTCAGAGCAGGAAACCTGTTAATGTCAGAATGTCATAGTGCTTACATTTGTGTAGGCTATAGTGGGGTAGCCCATAAGGGGTACAACCCAATTACGGTTAGTAATTGTACCCAACTATTTCATAGTTCATTCATTCTCATTCATTTTTCTGACAATATTTCAGAGCAGGTCCTTCGCTAGGACCGTTTTTTTTTTTGGCCCACCACAGCGCTACCCCGCTAGCCGCCCTCTGCAGCCCTCGTGCTGCCCCTACTGTCCGTAGGTCCGTCGCCCCTAGGCCCGTCGCCTCGGCCCGTTGCCCCTAGGCCCGTCGCCTCGGCCCGTCGCCCTTAGGCCCGTCGACCCCCGGCCCGTCGCCCCAAGCCCGTCGCCCCTAGCCCCGGCCCGTTGCCCTAGGCCCGTCGCCCCTAGGCCCGTCGACCCCTGGCCCGTCGCCCCTAGCCTGTCGCCCCTAGGCCTGTCGACCCCCGGTCCGTCGCCCCTAGCCCCGGCCCGTCGCCCTAGGCTCGTTGCCTCGGCCCGTCGCCCCTAGGCCCGTCGCCCTAGGCCCGTCGCCCCGGCCCGTCGACCCCCGACCCATCACCCCTAGCCCGTCGCCCTTAGGCCCGCCGCCCCGGCCTGTCGACCCCCGGCCCGTCGCCCCTAGCCTAGGCCCGTCGCCCCGGCCCGTCGCCCGTCGCCCCTAGGACCCCGGCCCGTCGCCCGTCACCCCTAGGTCCTGGGCCCATCGACCCTAGGCCCCGGACCCGCCCCCTGTCGACTCTTGGCCCCGGCGCCCCGTCGACCCTAGGCCCCAGACCCGCCCTGCGCGCCGCCCATTCCGGCCCGCCCCTCGCCCCTGCGGCCCGCGAGCCGCCCTTGCAGCCTCGCGCGCCGTCCTTGGTGGCCCTCTAGCCACCCCTGCTGCTCTGCTAGCCGCCCCTTGCGGCCCTCCCACCGCCTCTTGCTGCTGCCTGCCCTCTGCTCTGCGCTGCCCTGCTTCTCCCCACTCTGCGTGCTGCACCGCTATGGCTTCGCTTCGCGTTCTCGCATTCGATCATGAGGGCAGACCGGTTCAGTTTGACACGTTGCTCGACGACCTGCAGCTGTACCTACTGAGCAACTCTAGGGACAGTGTTTCGTTGTTTGACCACACGTCTGGCGCCGCTCCCGCCCCTCCCGCCACAGCTGACAGTGCGACTCGCTCACAGTGGCTTACTCGCGACGCTACTGCCCGCTTAGCCATTCGCAACCACCTGCCATTAGCCGAATGCGCTCACTTCGGACAGCACAGGACAGCGCAGGCACTGTACGACGCTGTCGTTGCTCGCTACTCCTCGCCTGCCACTGCTGCTCTAGGCCGCCTACTACTGCCCTACCTGTTCCCCGAGCTGTCCACCTTTGCCACAGTCGAGGACCTGGTTTCCCACCTTCGTGCTAGCGACGCTCGCTACCGCACTGCCGCCCCAGCTGAGTTCCTTGACAGGAACCAGCCCCCGATGTTCATCACTCTCTACTTCATAGTCACCCGCCTCCCTGACTCTCTTCGCTCTGTCAGGGACCACTTTCTCTCCCTTGACCCCACAGTCCTCACTGTTGACCTACTCGAGCAGCACCTTCTTGCAGCTGAGACTAGTGTAGTCGCTGTAGGTGCTGCTCGTGGCACTCCGCGCACGCCTTTCTTTGAGGGGTGCCCCCCCTCCCCCCTTGCCCCCTCCTACGCCTCTGCTGCTGCTGTTGACGTCCTTGGTGCTGAGGATGTCGGGGCTGCTTCTGCTAGTACGAAGCGCTGCAGCAGCAAGGGCAAGGGTGGCAGGGGTGGTGGAGGTGGCAGCGGGAGTGGTGGTGGGGGCAGCAGTGGAGGTAGTGGAGGCAGTGGAGGTGGTGGCAGCGGTGGGAGTGGTGGCGGGAGTGGGGG